CGAAGAAAATCTGTACTAATTACGATCAGTCATCCAAACACTGTCACGGTCATGATTTCCTTTGTTTAAACTTGATAAATAGTCAGTAATGAGTTTGAGAAGCTTGAAAGGTAAAATCAATGAGATAACAGTATTCTGTATAATTCACTGCAGGCCCCCAAACCGTCCGCTCACATTGTGGGAGCTCATTTAGAAGTAGTCCACTATCCAGTCAACACAGGTATGCTTTGAGTTTTGCTTCTCCTTCTTTGAAACATATAGTTAGTGTGGTTTCATTTAATACGTACGAGAAAAGGAAAATCGGAAGCCGTTATGCTCAAGCGAGTATTGTACATTGTGTCCAGCAGCTGTTGAACATTGCAGAGTTCCCATCAAAATATCATCCTTTATACCTGTAACTGGTTTAGGCCCGTCCACTGAGTCCGGAGGAATTCGAAAAGGCCGACCGTGAACACTAATCCGTCACGAAAACGCTCTTCAAACTCGAGGGAAAACAAAACATTTTGAAAACGGGGCCTTTTGAAAACAATGTAGTCACGATAATGATGTGATTTCCCTCCCCGAGTTTCTTTTAACACAAATCCAAAATGACCGGTGATTGTTGCTTTTTCAAATTCTTCGAGGGTAGCTTGGACGGAAAACACCTGATGCGTTTTCAGAATGTTTTAGTTTTCAGTTTTTATTATTGCACACTATTTACAGAAAAACAACTTAACGTAAGATGGCTTACAATGATATAGGAAAAATGATACCTTCGTCTTCAAATTCCCCCGGCGTAGTGTGGACAGTCCCGTGGACATCAATACAGACACCTGGCAAATGCCAAAACTAAGTGGGGGGCAAAAACAACAACAAAAAAGAGCAACATAACATTGTTCCACACAAATTTAATTTACCTTTCAGTGATCACCGACTGGTCAACCAGTGACAGTCGTAGTCATCTTGCAGGTGGCATGACGTACCGTGACGGAAAGTTGACAGTGCCCAGGGCTGCAAAGTACTACATCTATGCACAGCTCTACTTCAGGAGCCTCGGGAGAGTGTTTTTTGTTGTGAATGACGATAACGCCGTTACCTTGCTTCAGCGATCGGAAACTGGGCGAGCGGAAGGCCCAAGGAACGCTTTCGGTGTATTTGACCTTAAAGCTGGTGACACCATCTCGCTGAAGATCAATTCGTGGGGAGCGCCGCAGAATGGCGTCGAATTTTGGTTCAATGGCTACCACGATTACTTCGGTGCATTCTTGATTTGAGCCTATCACGGCTAACAGTTTAGCGTGTTGCCACGTCTCCTGTCCAAATTAGTGAAAAGGTCATTAAATAAAAGAAACAGACTAGACACCGGTGATGGACTTGTTTTCTTTCTTTTTTGAAATGGCCTTCAGTTTGCTCGCATGCAATTCTAAAGAGAGGTTTAAAAGCTTTCAAGAGCACCTCTCCCAAGTGCATCATAACTCGATAATATAAAGCTAAAAGCATGAACCAATGTATTCTAAGATTGGCGCTCTACTCCAACCCTCTCATGCGAGAAATAAATTTCCGGCGAAGCGATTTGTATGCGCTATCAGCGTGCTTTATTCAAATATGGTACACGTTTACATGTGGTGAATTTGATTGCGTTGCGCTGAGAACTGTTATAGCTTATGTTTTATAATATATCGAATTTTTCGCTCATTTTGATTGGTTCTAACTTATGATCAATTGAAAAGTGGACGCATATATGACGTCGTTAACAATGTTCCACAGCTTCTCAGAAATCGATCACAGAAGACGTCATCCAAAACCTCGTAAGAACAAAAAAGTGGCACACGAGGCGATAGCCGATTTAGTTCCTAGCCATTTTTTATGTGCAACAACCAATTTGAGTTCGCCATTCAACCGGCACATTGCAATCCAGTGAAGTAAAATCAATAAATAAATTACAACATTTAGAGAGGAAGCCATATCAGCCTTAGCTGGTTTTCATGCGGATCTTTTTATCCTGGTCGAATTGGAATTTGGAGATGTTGGTTTTGCGGAGAAAGGAAAACCAGAGAACCCGGCAGGAGAAGAACCCTCGGAGCAAGCGGGTCTTATTGGTGGGAGACGAGCGTTCTCACCGCCGCGCTATCCCCGCTCCCCAAATATTTGAACGCAGTGGCGCACCCTCGCTCGCGCTCGCAGTATAAGTCCCGAGATCACTTGCGATTGGTTAAATTAGTTAACCGCAATGAAGATGAGAACGATATCGAACCGTGATCCAGTTATTACGGGATCAGATCAGTGTTAGATATAAGTTTTAACAGGGAAGTAAGTTGCAATGACGAGTCAACAGCAATGAGTTAACGCGCGTGTGTTGATAATTAAAGGACGTCAAGATAATGAATTAAGATTGGTACAGCTCATTTTGGCGAATTGTACAGCGCCTAGAGCAGGCATGGATAGGCGCTATATAAATATTTATTTATTATTTATTATTATTATTACTTGAGTTTTTTATGGGAAAGTTCATTCTCGCATGTAATTAATGTTTTCGGACGTCACACGGCGCTTCATATTACCGACATCTTTCATTCTGATAGAATCTACATGTAGTATTATCTCTTAATAACCGAGCGCGAGGGCCGCACTGTGGAATATTGGCCCGAGTTCGTGGAAGTACGGACCGAGTGCAGCGAGGTCCGTGCAAAAACGACCGAGGGCCAATTTTCCCCAGTACGGCTCGAGCAAGCCAGGTCAGTGAGTAGTTTATTATGTGGCACTCGGGACTTGAATTTGGCGGCTTTCGAAAGCAAAAAAATCCACGGCGTATGACCGTTTCAATGGAAATGGTCCGTATGGCACAATCCCGACCAAGAAAGAACCAATCAGAACGCTCGGAATTTACCTCAGAACTACCTTTATATATAGTAATGGATTATAATATTTCATGCAAAGGGAAATTATTTGTAGGCATTATGCGTTACACGTCGCAAAAATCAAAGACAAAACCTGTTCCCTACTATTCTAAATACGCCGCATTGAAGGAACAAAATAATTTATAAATAATATTTCTATTCTTTCAAATATAACCGATAATAACCCTCTACCGAAACGGACGCCTTATTCCAGTTTTACAAGACTGTACTATTAGCTTAAGTACAAAAGAATTGAGGTTTAACCGGCGTTACGCTGTGCTTTTCATTTTTGACGAAAAATACCGATAAATACAATAAAACGCGAGGAATATAGTAACATGCATGTCAATATTTCACTGGCATTCCATTCAATCACCGGCCATTTTGGATTTGTTTGAGGAAAGCTCGGTCAGGGAAATCACATGCTTATCGCCGCGACGTCATCGGTTTCGAAAAGCACCGTTTTCAAAATGTTTTTTGTTTGGTCCACACTAAAACGCACAGCCGGGGCTTTCAAGTTCCTCCGGTTTCGTGACGGATAGATGTGGACGTAGAAATAATGTGGACAGGGCCTCAGTGTATCATAACAGCTCGTTAAACGACGTTCTACTCCAAAACATATATCTTGTTAGATGTTTTGGTGTTTCGTATCGCTGTACATTTTTACAAGTTGTGCCATATTTTGACGAGCCCGTTGGCGAGTCAAAATGTTTGAGTGTTTAAACACCAAGCAGTTTCATTGAAATCGCAGCCTCGAGAGAAGAATGTCTTAGAAAGTGACAACTTGCTTACCTAAACGTTTTAATATTTTTTGATTTAACAATATTAGCAATGCGTTTTATATTATTTAAATTAGATTTAATTAAGTGACTTGGAGAAAATTAGATGCCATGATTTTATAGCCAGAGGTAAAACTTAGAAGGAGATAAAGTAACACAAATATTAGACAAAGTTGTGATTGCACAATTATTGACTATATAATTGTCAACTATTGTTGTTTTGATGGTCTTAGTGACCCTTGAAAGAGCTGTAATAGCAAATGCAGTAACGTTTGATACTAAAAGATACACCTTTTCTTTTTTCCAGGTACCTGATGAACTGTGAGGTGGAAACAGAAACATCTTACTTATACCCCAAACAGTGTTGGTGCAAAAAAATGATTAATTATCGTTATAACTATTAGCTGGGAAAATGTTATTATTTATTTATTATTTAATTGTACATGTAACTGGCCATATTCTTGCAAATATAAAGCTTGTTTTGCGTTGAGAGGTGGTGTACCGGTGGAACGGGAACCCTCAGTGTTCCTTGGTAATTTTATTCTTAGAACATTACTTGCAATATAACCGCAGATCGACAAAAATGATTTGTTTAGTAGTAATAATATTTTTATTGCTTGGGAAGTGTTTGATCTCTCTCGAGATCAGGATGTATAGGAATTTAATCTTTTATTGACTTCCATTAGCAAACCATTAATGTTACATTGCATGATTGATAAGATAGTACACTGGTAGGCCAGCAATTTCAAAACACTTGTAAATAATCAGTAAGAATGATCAGGTATTTATACTTATAACGATAAAGTCTTGCCAAATTAAATAAGTTAAAAATTCAACTCCAGTCAGAAAACCTAGGAATAATGTTGATCAAAGCAGA